GCCCGCTCTGGCCCCAGGGATACATTTAACTATGGCCGCTGGCTTCACTAACTTCACGTTTCTGACTATGGAGCTGCCAATAACCAGAGTTGGTTCCTCAGCGGGTGTATCGCTGAGTGGGGACAATTTATTAGAAATATGAATGGGTTGGTGGTGACCTGTGGGCTTCGGCGTTTTAGTCTTCCTTCGCTCAGTCACCCAGCCTCCCTGTCTTCCCGGCTGCTCGGGAACTACCGGGGGAACTACCGGAGGAACTACCGGAGCAACTACCGGAGGACGGCTAACAGAAGCTACCTTCGGTCGGACCGCACCGGCTACTGGGGGCTGGCTATAGCGGCTAAAGATAACTCCGTCGTGCGGTACCGTTCCTCTAGTTCACTAAGCCTCGCCACCAGCGCAGTAAATAAACTACACTTAATACAAGAACCATTATCATTAAAGGAGGCAGAAGAATAACTGAACATCTGACACACTGAGCAGGACAGAGGAGAGGGAGAGGGAGAAGCCATAGCTAACTGCTAATACTAATGAAGCTAGCGTGTATGAAAACTTTTGAAAATAGCGAAAAGTCGCTAAAAGAAGGAGAAACTCCGAGTGTTTAGGTAGAACTAGTCTATGTTTAAATGTTAAGCGGGAAAATAACCGCTGTAACTATGTAATTATGCCCGACAACAAGGTAATAACAACTAATTTCTGTGGCTTTTGTGTATTTGGAGTAAAAAAATGTTGGTCCTTGTTGAAAATGAAATGATAGCTTATCCTCAAGAGAGTCAACAATTTTCTTTGGCATTTACCTTCCATGACAGTAACATCTCTCTCTCTCAAGACTTGCATTAATACGTCTCCAAAGTGTGCTGTCATCTCAGCTGTTGTATTTTAAAGGGCAAACCTGCCGTCGTTCTTACCGGTTGAGTCTGTGTCTCTCTTGTCTGTCTTTTAGCTGTAAATGTCTTTTCCCAGGATATCGGTGTAGATATTTTACTGCCCATGCAGGGCTTAGAGAGAACAGGCAAACTGACATGCATATTAGCAGTTAAATCCTCTATAGTGCCGACATTTGGGTTCAGTCTTTCTGTGTTTTAACACGTTGTTCAAATTGTTTTTTTATTCAAGTGATACACTTGGGTGTTGTGTAAGGAGATTGCACTTCTGTTTTGAGCTAACACGGGAAAAAAAATAGCTTACAATAAGCTGTTCTTTCTGTCAACATTGGATCTAACTTCATCACACCTTCACAAGAGTGAGATGAAGAAATGAAGTTTGAACAAGATCATGGGAAATGCCTCATAGAGTGTAAATAAATATACTATCAAGTGCCACCCTTTTCCTTCCAAACAGCTTGAGTCTTCATTGAATTTTCTGTCACTGAGGTCCTGAGCAGTGTGTCAGGGGACATTAGATCATTCTTGAAGGGAAGCCTCCAGTTCTTTGAAGAATGAAGGAAGTGAAAATCTTTACAGTAGTCCCCATGAAACCTCTCTGAGTTTTAGATCTGGTGAATGGGGAGGCTGTGGTTGGCTTTTAGCTTCTTTCTAGCGTTCATGAAACAACTCCTGCGCAGTGGATTTTAGGATACCAGCTCAGATTGACAAATTGGCAACAGACAAATGTGTTTTTGAGGTGTCCTCTGGCTTTCCCCTGGCATATGTCTGTCTTAAAGTGAGGATTAAATGACTTATATGGCCAAATGGTTTATTTTTTATGTTGCTCATTAATCCAGGTTACTTGTTTGCCTTGCAGGTGTATGTCTTGTGTTGGCCCGGATTGGTTTATTTTTTCCATCGCTGCGATAAATGTCATCTTTGGGAAGTTCACAATAGCCGGTTAATGTGTTAATTTGTGTCTGTGGTAAATTTTGATGCTAGAATATTTAGTGTTTAACAGCCATTGTAATTAGTGATGATCAACTTGTGATTCCTGGATGTTCGTAACTGCGGAGTTTGACCATTTTTATCATACATTATTATTTTGGAGCCTGTTTTTGTTCCTTATTTTCCTTTATTGGTTGGTTGGACTGAAATATCACAATGACTACTGGATAGACTGTTATTAAGTTGTGTACATTTCAAGTTCCCAGAAGATGAAACAAATGAACTTTTTTTCTAGCACCATCACCTTGACTAAACCCCCTGGTAATTGTTTTTTTGTGTTCTGCCAAAAGGTGGCTCACAAGAATGGAGGCCCCTGTTGCAGCTTTTCTTTCCTTGGTGTTGGATTTGGTAAAGAGCAACTGTTGGTCACTTTGCTCCAAGTTAAATTTTTTTGCCATGCCAGAGCAACAGCTTGGTGACAAACTGGGCAGATTGTTCAGTCTTTGACCAAAGGGAACAATCTGATGAAAGTCTTTGTTTGCTGGTTGGTTGGTTGTTCCACCACTTTAGTCCAGACTGAAGTATTGCAGCATGTATTGGACTGATTTCAGTGATATTTGGTATAGACACTCATTTTTGCATCATGACAAATTGTAATAACTTTGTTGATCCCCTGACTTTTCATCTAGCATCATCATCCTGTAAAATTGAATGTATGACCCTTACTGTAGAGCACTTTGTTTAGTTGTAATTAGCAAATGTTAGCATGCTGGCACACTAAGTAAGTTGTTGAACATGGTAAGCATTACACCAGCTAAACATTAGCATGTTAACATTGTTGGCACGCCGTCATTAGCATTTGCCTCAAGTGTAGCCTCACAGAGCTGCCATTGTGGTTGTAGACTCTTAGTCTTGTCTGGGAATATAACGCTACTGTAAGCAGTGTAAATTCTTTGAGTTTTATTTTTCACAGTAACAGGGAATTGTGTGCATAGAGATGTGTACCCAAGCAGCATATCTGTGCATCAGTTTCCGCTCGCCAGGATTGGTTCATGTACGCCATGCAGATGGGAAAAGGGCGAGGGTTGAGGAGGTCAGGTGAAAATGAATGACGCGATGTGATGCAGCATCCCTGTGTGTGCGCGGGTGCATGTACATGTCGAGTCTCGTCCTGCTGAGTCCCACTAGCACACTGACCTTTTACTCTGTCGGTGGGAAAGCAGAGGGCGCCTTAATTACCTTCACAACAACAGCCCTTCTAACCCTGCTCAGCCACAGGATGTCACGAAACCCACTGTATACACTCCACATGTGCACTGTAAGTCTGCATTACACAAAGAAACAGTATCTGACACTACCTGCGAAAGGTCACTGGGCACTATTGCATTGACCTACATGTGTTGTACTATCAGATGGTTATATTTTTCATTATGTGTGGACAGATTTACTTTACACTGTCCATAGATCTATGGACAGTGAATGTATCAGTTAGAATTTTGAGCAGTTGTAGCTCTATGGATGGCAAGTTTGCTCTGTGTCTTTGTTTTTCCTGACAGTAACTCTTTAAAAAAAAAAAAAAAAAAAAGGCCCAGATCACTTTATTTGACCTGATTTCAGCAAAACTGTAACCAAGGAGCTGCAAGACAGAAATGAGCCCTGTGGGGAACCCTGCATGTAGCTGACCTACGGCTAATTGGAGCCAGGAGGACATTCAGGGCCTCTTGAAGTTCAAGCGCCATCTGTTACAGGGTAAACGCTATCAAGCTTTGATTCACAAAGTGACATGATGATGAAACAGTGATTGGTCAGCTCGGGTCAGGCAGTGCCATCAGCAAACAGTTGTCCTGCTGCGTTGATGGCCAGAACAGTGGCAGAGAAAGTTATGGACCAGTAATGCAGTGACCCTCCTTTAACATGTTTAGCCTATAATACAAAAAAACCCCCAAAGAATACAGAAAAGCACATTTCTTACTTTTTAACACAAATTAATGTAGAACTCTGGCACGAGGTATGCTGTCACTAATGTACATTTTGTGCTGTTATAAAACATATATCTGTGTTAAAATGACACATCTGTTCAGAGAATATATTCATGACTAGCTGTGAAATGTTTTATGAAGCCTTGGATGATAGCAAAGCCATTGTTGTGACAGGGGCGCAATGACAATCTCTGTAAGCAGCATCATATGTTGGTTTTGAATTTTATTTGAGCAAACTCAAGAAACACTGAGCTTGATGGATACAAGGAGGATGGTACTAGATAAAGTCCTTATTTCAGTCACCAGAGATTAGAAACTACAATGTTTCTATTCAGTCAGTAATTGCCTGGTGCAATTGGCATGAGCTGTCCACTGCTTAATCTGTGGAGAAGAAAGACCATATCCTAATAGATTTTTTTTTTTAATGGAAAAAACATTTCTTTTAAATTGGAGGACAAGCATTGGATTGTTGTCTTTTGGCAGAATGGTGATCTGTCAGGAATGTTACGTTATATATTTGCTATGATGCACAAAGAAAATATTTTCTGAGGCGCTCACAGTGAAGATGGAGTGAAGGCTCACTGCTACTGCAATGTGTAATTTGCAGTCTAGGACACCTGTGTTGCGTGCGTGCGTGCGTGCGTGCGTGCGTGTGTGTGTGTGTGTGTGTCAGGACTTGCCACATAACCCATGGATCAATGCTTGTTCTATTTCAGATGGCCTGTATGTGTTTCCGCTCACTTCCCCAGTGGTCTTTGTGTCGTGGTTTCAGCCGGTTGTTGTGATTCTACTCTGCCATTTTGACATTTATTTGTTGAAACACAGACCTTTGCTTGATCTGACAGTGACACACCTTTGAGACAGCAGGTTAGATCCCTCAATGGAGTGACATTAGTGTTCGTTATAATGGAATCTCTGCATCAGATGAAAATGTGAAAGGGAAGAGAATAACTCCTTTCTCAGTAACTACTGTTGAGCTCTCCCTGGGCAAGATGCTTAACCTTCACTGCTCCACTGGAGCTTCAGCGGCCAGCAGCAACAGAATGTGGTTTACTGGAAAACTCCCAGGACGGACCTGAGTACAAGCATGTGTGCTCAGTTTTAAAGATTTAATGTGGTGTTGAAAAGCATTAAGAATGAATCCACTTGTCTGTTTTGATTTGAGCATTGATGTGAGGGTAATGATGCGTTCTGTGACTTCTCCCCCCAGATGAAGACCGTGAGCGTTGCGCTGGTGTTGTGTCTGAACGTGGGAGTGGACCCTCCTGATGTGGTCAAGACCTCGCCCTGTGCCAGACTGGAGTGCTGGATAGGTGAGTGAGTTCACACAGACACACACACCAATATGAGAGCTGAACAGACAAGCATGCAAATGCAACACAAAGTGTGAGATATGATGAAGTGGGTACCTTATATATGATGTGTACTCAACTGTGCTGGAAAATTGTGACGGACACATACCCACTGTACACAATTGGGGTCAAAAAGACCACTCCTTCTCAGACCCATTCTTACTTGTTGTCTAATAGAGTGCTGCAGGAATGACGTATTTTTGTAGCATAACCTGGAAGCTAGCACTGTAAACAAAAAGCCAATGGGATTTTCGGTTATTGCAGAGAGTAACGTCCCCACCACTAAATTTCCATTTTGTAATTAAATTGTGCAATTAAAATTCAAGTTGTAAAGTTTGAGTTAGAATAGTTTGCAAGAGGCTGTAAAGGCGGATTAGTGGGTTGATAAGTCTCTGTGTGCGGCGTGCTGCTGTCCCCTGCAACCTCAGTAGTCTAATTTAGCAACCGTCTTTTTCAAGACACATTAAAAATTTAAAAATATACACTATTTACCAATGTTTTTTATGCCATAGAACAAACGTGAATATCTCTTAAGTTTGTGTTAACCACAGACAGCATTTAACCAAAAACCCATTCAAAAATCCTGTTAACTTTGAGGCGAGGTAACCGGAAGTGCTAAAATGCTAACTAATTTCCAGGTTTTAGGACTTATCAGCACTCCATAATCATCACGTTTCTTCAGTACCAAAAGTGAAACAGCAACGTTTCTTTCCATGACGCAATATCGCAAAACTGTTAACAAAGGTAGGATTAAAAAGGGGGGCTCAATGTGTATCCTACAGCTAGCTCACTAACTTTATGGCAACATAATACTCTCATAGGAATGACAAATCTATGAATATCTATGAATCAATTTTTGTTTTGCTCTAAACATACATTTTTTAGCAGTCATTGGTCGGTCCTGAAAGAATTATCTCAATAACTATTGAATGGATTGTCTGTGGGTGAAGCCTACTGAGGTTGGTGATCCTCTGTCTTTTCATCTAAGGCCACCATTAGGATGACATTTTGGGGTTTTTAGTGAAACGTCTTAAAGTATTGGATGGACTTAGCCATGAAATTTATTAGGACTAATTGTAAAAAGTGTAAGTGTCCAGCTCAAAGCACTGCTAGCCTCATAGTGCAGCTAGCGTGGCTGTATCCTCATAGTCTCGTATTGACATCACAAAGGTTTTATCACCATGGAACACGGACACACTGCTCTATCCTTTCATATGAAACCATTTGTGGTGTATTTAAAACCAGGCATAAAAACCCCTCACATGTATAGTATCTCTCCCATTAACATTGGTGACATTTCTGAGTGGTCCTGAAAATAACTATTATATAAGGCATGTCTAGTCAGGACATATAGTGACTATGCCAATAGCCTGTAAATGACGAGTGTAAAAAATTTGCCAAAAAGCATACGGTTCAAAAGTAGGATTCAAGACTACTGTCAACTTGAACTTGACAGAAAAAGTTAAGTTTTTACTTTGGAGCACTTAGGAACCCCTCTCTGTCTCTCCCATGGGAGCTCAAATCATAAGGCCTCTGTCAACTAAAGATGAAGTAGTCTGCCCCCATCAGAACCACAGAAGATGACACAAAAAACAAAAGAACCATCCCTATTGAACGGGAACCTCAAAACCATTGTTTAACTCCCCTGAGACTGCTTGACTCTTAGGAGAGAGGAAAGCACATTAAAGAGGGAACACAGTTCTTAAAGTGTTTGTAACTTTGTCAGTGGTTTCTGAGGACACTGACATTTTGCAGACCTGCCAATTGGTTTTTGAGACGGTGTTTGGGAATATTGAGGAGTAAAGGCAGAGGTGATGTCCTGAAATGCACCATGGTATTTGATTTATGACACATGCTACAACTATATGCTAATAAAAATGCGTACATCTGCTTTTCAGTGGCTGTGGCGTGTGTGAAAACTTCCTTTTATATACTGGCACCTTTTTAAATGTTCATCATAACAGGAAATTGTAAAGTGGTTGTAAGGTGATCACACAATATGTGAGTGCAGGACTTACAGTTTGCGAGGACTTCTTGATTTTAGGGGTGTAAGAAAACTTAAAAGTATACACAGTAGGCTCACTTCTGTGAGGAAAGGTAAATGTAAATTGTCTACTAGAACAATGGCCAACCGTGACAAGAAAACATTGAATTTGTCACAAAAGAAGACTGTTGTCAGTTTACTCAGTGATAGAAAACGGGTCCCTTAAGAAAAAAGGTTGGGAACCACTGGCTTAAAATACCTAGTAAGTTGAAATGAAATAAAGTAAACCAGAAGTTATAATTTGACTCATCAAATGCGTCTTTCCTTTGAAGTAGGCCTCATTGATCATAAAGGCGGTGGTTTAATTTTCAGCATAAAGCATATCAGTGTCTCCCACAAACTTGCCAATACATTCTTCTCTGTCTGCTGAGCACAATTTGATCTCTCCTCAATCTATATTCTGATATTCTTCATGCCATATTGATTTACTCTCATCAATATTTCAACCCAAGGGGCTGCTGCTATTTTTCCAAACCCTGCTTTTTCTTTGATGTCTAAATCATAAACTATAAGCTACCTTTGTAATCACGGCATTGAAGTTTCTTCTGCCCGAATGTTAAACAATGTTCGTCTTCTTGTTTGGATTACATTATTTTACTGCAATGTAAATGTATGCAGTGAATAATATAATTAAGGTCAGCTCCAGATTGAGTGTGTGCGGTGTTGCTGTGCTATGACTGTTGTGTGCTACGTGTGTGACGTGCTACGTCACAATGTGTTTACGGTCTGTGTTGTCTTGCTAGATCCTCTGTCGATGAGTCCACAGAAAGCCCTGGAGACCATCGGGGCCAACCTGCAGAAGCAATATGAAAACTGGCAACCCAGGGTGAGTAGGCTCACACGAGCCAACCTCCCTCATTTTTGTTGCATGGTCTTATGATACAGTGACCACTTACATAAATTCACACCACTGTGTGTTACATACACAGTGGAATGAAACCAATAAAACACTTAGAAATGAAATAAAATGAATCGTAGGCACTCAGAGACTTGACCTTGGTCATATCATATTATCACTGATTGATTTTGGCATCCATCAAGTCATACTCATGATTTTTCAAGACTGAGAAGTTGTTTTATGGATTTTGGCAGACCATCCAGACTGTCCTTCAGTTTTTGCCAATTCTGTTAACCTAACCGATATTGGTCACCTCTCCCAGTACCATATCAGAAAGGACTTTTAACACATTATCATCTATTGATTCTAATCATGCTTTTTGGGTGTCACTGTAAGGACATTAGTTGCTACTGTTCAAGAAAACACAGTTCTTGTGCAGATGAAACCTACGTAAAGCTGTGAGAACTTTTAGCACTATTGGCTTGTTCAATGTGTGAGTTCGTGTGAGCATAAAAAGACAGTTGAGGCCTGTGTGTAGTTTTTGTATTTTTTTAATCCGCCATCCGATTAAAATCATCAGCATAGAAACCTTTCACACTGAGTCTGATGCGTTTTATTTCTCTATTTATTGCGAAATTCCCAGTACGAGACGGAGTCATCATGCAATGAGGTTGATTTTGTGGTAACTCACTTGTAAGTGGAAAAAGAAAATGGAAGTTTTAGTTCCAAGTTGTAGAAAAACCAGGAGAGTTTCACCTGCTGATAAAGGACTTGTCTGCTCCTGCTGTCACTCTGTCTCACTACTTCTTTCTCATTTCCTTCCTTGCTTCTCTCCACTGGAGGTTCCTCTGCAGGCTGTCGCCACTCTCTACCTGCGGCTTGCATTTGGCACCGCAGCTACAAGAGACTGAGCTGAGCGGCTCTCTCTCCTGTCTGTGTGCCGTCCTCATTCTCTGTTCTTTTTGACGGTGCGAAAAAATGCAGAAAATCAAACCTGTTCCAAAAAAAGTTTCAAGTCGCTGTGTAAACATGATTGACACAACGTGAAGTTGTATTTATTTTTAAACGTGCGACAATTTCGGACAAAAATCAAAGACTTGGTTTGCAAAGGCCTTTACTGCAGCTGTCGTGGTAACTGACTGTGTTTACATTTTCTGTGTTTCATTTGAATGGGTTAGAGAGTGATGGGGTTAATTTTAGATACTTCATTGTGTCAGCTCTAATATACTTCCTGTGTGCACTGTGCCAACAAAACACCCACATGCTCTTGACAGTGATTCATATATATTTTTTTTAAATGGATGCATCATGTGGTCTTGTAAATTCAGCTGTTTGTGTGTATATGTGTGTGTGCTCATTCATATCGTTGCCAACAGCGGCAGTTATCTTCCTCTTCTAGCTGTAAGATAGCTCAGTATTTTCCAGATGCTTCTCGGTCTGTTGTCCTCCTCGAGCAGCCCTTCGGCCTCCCATTGTTGGAGCCGCTGTGCTGGAGCAGATGGCAAGGGCAGTCCCCCTCCCTCCTAAGAAAACACTCCTTGAAACACTGGGTTAAGACAGGACCCTGATGAAGCGAGACAACCGAATAAAGGATTCTAACAATATATAAGGCAAACAGCACAGAGATGTATAGACAATATGAGCTCGACAGCAGCTACAGGCCGCAAACACACATTAAAACAAAAAGAGAGCTGCATGGATACATTTCTAGGCAACACAGTGGTTGTTGACGTTTTCATCTGGAGAGTTACAACTGTGAGTCTTGTGCTCCACAGAATCCTTCTCAGCATCGGTTCAACTTCTCTGCTTGTTCATTCTCAATGTATTATATAACCAGTCCACTCAGCCCACTGCACTCCTCAAATACAAACATTTCTGAGCTGAAAAGGCACTCTGCAGTCTGTATGACCGAGATTATTAGTATTATTATTATTAGTCATAAACAGTAGAAAGGCCTCACATATGTCACTAAAGGCATTGTGAGCACTTTAGCATTCAGCATGCACCTGTTGGTCATGAAACATCGTGGGGGTATTTGATTTTTTGTTCTTACTCTATAAAGGATTTAACTTTAAATGTAGTAAGTAAGTGCAATATTTGGGATAAAATATACTAAAGTACAAAAATATGGCTTTGTCACAGAGTAAATGTAATTAGTTAGTCCACCCACCGCCACCCAGTAGCTCATTTTATTGTATGTAGGCATTTTAAAGTTAGAGTGCAAAGTATATTTATATCTTAAGTTGATATACCATGTTAGCTAGTCTTGGATATTTTGCTCCTCCATATCTTTTTCTTCACTCTCCAATATGAGTCCTCTGGGGAGTGATGGACAAAAATAAGCAAACACTTGAAATCTGATCCGAGTGGTTGGACTGAGTTGCACTTGCACATATTGGATTTAAAGTGCATTTCGAACCACCTGCAAATATGTTTTAAATCTGGTCTGAAAAGGATAGGATTGGATCATGCCTGTTTTTTTTCTGTTGAGAGTCTGGTTGGTATTACAAATGGGAAAAATCTATTTCAGCTGTCCGTCTGAACATGGCCTCTCAGGGACAGAGGAGGATGGAGGTTTCTTTTAGACCAGGTGGAAAGGCAAAGCTGAAAAACAAATGATGAAAAACAGACAATAGTAGTTAGCCACCCACAAGGCCACCAAAAAACATCTTATGATGCAGAGTTATAAGTAAAAAACTAACAATATGTGGCTGTTTGGTAAGATAGCGCGGAAGCGAAACATGAGGTAAGATGAGGTGGAGGAAGAGACGTCCCAGGAGATAGCAGCTAAAGGAATGTAGGCTCGGGCTCGGTTGACCCGGGAGGTCAGCAGCAAATGGTGGTAGGAGGAGTGCAGGAGGAGGAGTGGGAGGGTGAGAAAGCAGTTCCTTTTTTTTTTTTCAGCCTGAGGATTCACAGCTCTGCAGCACCACACCGCAGAGCAGCGTTCGCCAACACACCTTACATAAACTGTTGACAAAGCAATCAATTACACAGCAGCTATTTACCTGCTTTGTCACCGTGACGAGAAATCTTGTAATGAGTTCATTTCCAACGGTTAGAGTTGGTAAACATCACACCTAAGTGGAAACCTAAAATCCATTTTGTCACTGTTCCAGTATGTTGTCGAGTGTTGGTATGTAAGAACGGTGTCTGCAGCAGTTGAGCTGCCCAGAGAGTTTAGCTGTGCCAGCCTGCTGTCACGAATCCATTTCTCTGTTTGCTTCTGTACTCTTACATTAACCCTTAAGTCCAGGAAACACAGCGAGGAAGGCAAACACCGTCTTGGCTGCTGCCCACTCACTTTCTCTACAACACTACGTCTTACTCTTCTCTTCTCACTGACCATTTTTCATCATCATTTTTTACTCCACAAAGGGCTATTTCTGTCAATCAAGGCTCTCATGTGTCTGTCCTTACTTTACCTCTTCATGTTGGTACCAATCTTCTCAGCCTGTGGATTTGTTTTTTGCGTGCGTGCGTGCGTGCGTGCGTGCGTGTGTGTGTGTACGTATTATGTATGGACTAGATGGAAGGAAAGATTTTGATGAAGCCTTTCTGCCTCTTGTTGGCTCGTAGCTGAGCTCTCTCATAGCAGATGCAGGTTATCCAACCTGCTGGTGATCCAGCGGCCAATGTCTGATGAGATCCAACTTCAATTAGCTCTGTCAGCCAGATGCAGCTCGTCACAGCACCAGAAGCTCTATAATTGTACGCTTGTACTCTTGTGTATGTGTTTTGACCTTTTCGGAAGTTTGTTATTGGTGCAAATCACAGCATGACATGGTAATATAATCAGGCATTATACAATACAAACAAACAATACAGTCAGTATATCAATGTATCAATACATGATATTTGCAGTACTGAAGATTTTCATTATAACAAACCCTATTGTTGATTCTATTTATAATTTTAGATTTTTCAGCAAAAGCAAAGCAAAATGTTTGCTTTCTGTAATTCCCTCTCAGCACCGTCATTTTTGTTATTGGCGGAGTCCGCCATTCCTGCATGGCATTCAAATTGCTTACTCACGCACAATGGATTGAAAGGAGATGGTAGAAGACGTGATGCAGAAGACAATACACTGTAAATACAGAAGATAACATTTGATTTAAAGTTCATTATTAATGTGTTGTTACTTATAGCTGTTTTCTTACATACTTCTATTAGTCCTCACAGGCCACAGTTTGTTTGGCTGCAAACAGATTGTTTAAGTGATCTATTTCAAATTAACCTCAATTTGAACACCATTCATAACCAGCTTCCCTCTAATGTGGATTATGTTGTATTTCTGACAGAGTAACTGGTAAAGGTGTATAACCATAACTGTTGCCTTGGCAACCAAGACATAAATCTTTAAAGCAACTTCATGTGGCTTTGAAAATGTTTATATAAAAGAGCTGATGGCCACTACTGTAAACCTGTCTTGTGTGACTTATCCGTGCTTTTGCCATCTGCAGTTTCACATCAGTTCACATCAGAGCTGTAAATAGTTATCACAGTCATTTTTGATTTATCTATTTATTTTCTAATTTATTAATCATGAAATTCAAACAATCGGGTGGAAAACTGAAGTGTCCACCAAGGGTTGCCAGAGCCCAAGATAAAACTTCTTAATACTTGTTCTTCCTGAACTGTTTGAAACTGAAAAGCAGTAAATGTAAAGCTCATCACATTTGAGAAGCTATAATCAGTGAAAAACTGACTATTTCCCTTGATAAATGGCTGCAACTACAATTTGTTAATTAGTTAATTCATCGTTTTAGCACTAGTTTAGGTTCTTCTTAGTTTTTTCTTTCAATCTGTTTTCTGTTGTTTGTATTAGCATTAGCATGGTGTGCTGGCGGCCAGTGAGTGATAAAGAGCTTCACACCCGATGTCTGGCAACAGGGCTTTTTTTTAATTTCTTTTTAGATTTTCCCTTTTCCAAACATACCCAGATATTGTTTGTTTTCAATTTTACTGTTAATTGTCTCCTTCTGGTT